TCACTTCAATCCATGACTGTTTGTGCTGTGCTGTGCGCAATTGGCTGCCGCATTTTGCCTACAAAATACAGTGAATTCACTTTACAGTATATTCTGTGAAGCACTTTGAGACGTCTCGAAGACTTGATAAGGCGCAGTATCAAAAGCAAGGATTATTATTATTACTATAATGATGAGACTACCGGTCTTATTGAAAAAACACACCAGTTACGAGAGGGATGGGATTCTTCTCACTCAGCTCCTGAGAAGCTTACCAGTGCTGTCATGTTAATGTTTTATTTCAATTGTGCTTTTAACTTGCTGAATTTTATTCCCTGAACTGTATGATCATATTCAAATCCATTGTCTTTTATTGTTTATGAAACATTTAAATCTATTTTTCAGATTCTTTGCAAAATTCACAGCAAATTCAAAAGTAAATGTTTTCTGCAAGCTGGAAATTTGCAGAAATCGTAAAAGCACTGGTGCAGTTCCACCTGAACCTAGAGTTAGTGTTGGAACTTGGAATGCCTGGGCTGAAATTCTGGTGAACTTCCGTAGGTCTTTTTATCGAGCGTTAGAAATATCACATTAACATTGTAAAGACCTTAAATGTCTTCATTAACAGATGAGCGGCAGACTGCTGTTACTTTATTCTGTGTGTGCTGTCATTTCGACTGCTTTAAGTCCACCGTTAACTGTTAATTGTTGGTGCAAGCATGCTGCAGGCTGAATGTCGAAGGACCTAACATGGCAGTTTGGAAAGCAGGTACAATAGGGATCATGTTCCTTTGACTGAAACGTTGTTTCTTTTCAGCTGTTTCTGCTTTTGCCCATAAATGTTTCTGTCTTCAATGAAAGTAATTTCTGAAGTGCAGTTGTTACACCATCTTTTATTAGATCTTCCTCTGCCCAGGCACCTTTCTACACAAATAGTATCATCCCACATGTTCGTTCCTGGCCTTGAGAAGGGATACGTCCGGAGGAGATAAAATTAACAGGATTATTAAAATTGATAAGTAAGTTACTGGACTCAAGATTACACTATACAACATTAGTTCAGGTTTGCTGGACCTTGAGAATGTAGGTGGATAATGCTCTTCAACTCACGTTTTATACAAATGTAATCGTGTTGTTGTTATAAGAAGACAATTTCAAGTAAAGCTGCTTTGAGACAAAATTGTCTGTCACAATATAGAATCAGCTCTTCAAAATGTTTGAGCTCATTTCTCAAATCGTATAGTATTTGTGAATCTGGTGGCTTTACTCTTAGACACTTTATAAAGGATATTTGGATCTCACAATAATAATAATCCTTCCATTTGGTATATTGCCTTTCAAGTCATGAAGATATCTTGAAGCTTCACTGGATATACTGTAAATGCATTTGTGGCCATTTACAGAATATCCTCTAAAGCTTTGAGATATCCTCAAAGCTTGTGGGCAAATGCATTTAGGGTTACAAATTTCCTTCAAAATGTGTGGAATGACTTGATAGAAATTACTATGCTGTGATGCCAGTTCTGGCTCCCTGACCTGCCATCTATTTGTTGAATGTATCCCAGCATCTCGTGTCTGATCAAAATGTGTATCCTGTGGGTGTCAACCATTTCCCCCCTCCTCGCTCCCTCCCCTCACCTGACCATTTTCCCCCTGCTCGGGTCATGACCCAACTGTGCAGCGCCTTGGGACGTCCTCCTGACGTGAAAGGAGCTTTATAAATGGAATCTTGTTGTTGTTGTTGTCAACTCCCCCAGGAAACCACTTCACTGTTGCAGATCCTATAATTCCCCACCTCCCCAGCTCTTCTATGAGACCCAGGGTGCATGGGATTGTTGCCTTCCTTTTAACTACTAGTGTTCAAAACAAGACCACATTTCCCAACTACCAGGAGCAGATGGTGCTCAGAATGGGCAGCCTTTCGTGGCAGGGTATCAGCAGGCTGCATATGGTATGTTCCCAGTCAGCACTGGATATGCGATGCATCTCATGGCAGAGGCAAGGAGGAGCCAACATTCTGAGCCATAATAATATTGTGGATTATTGTGGAAAATATAAACTATTTCAAATGACCTCGGTCTCATGACTACTCTTCCTGGCAACCAGAAATGCCCACAGTACTCAGAATGTGGTCTAACCAAGGTTTATATCAATTTAACATTATTTCCCTTGTTTTGTATTCTGTTGCTTTGGACAAAAAGCTGAAGACTTTTGTTTTGGTCTTGTCCACCTGTGATACTGCTTTTTGAATCTTGAGAAATTGAGCTGCATTTTTATCAGTTTGTGCTACCTAAATATACTTTCAGAAACTTGAAATAATTCCTTTTTCACTTTCATCCACAAAAATATACCTTATTTCAATTATAATTATATGTGAAACTTGTAATATTCATATGTCAGAATAAAAGAAAACAATTATTAATACTGTTTTTGTAAAAAAATTGTATTACAGCTCAATGTAAATGATTTGCAATAAAATAATATTTCCAATGTCTTATTGTCATCATTTTGCAATATTCAATTTCTGATAATCTGCAGCTAAACTGCTTTGGAGATTTTACTCTAGTTAATAGACAAGGAAGAGAGTAACTTGTGATTATGAGTATTAATCCAAGGACAAATTGAGGAGTACCACAAATGCAATAAAAGTATTGCCTTAGAGTACATATTTTTAATATTATGTTTGTGATTTTGTTATCCGGATAAAACATATCTCATAAATTTCTTCAGTAAACCTCCAGAACAATTCAACAGTCTTAAAATAATAACTTGAAGGATAAAACAAATTACTATAGTCAAAATTAAGTTCATCCAGAGTAAGATATATTGCAGTTTGAAGGTAGAAGATTTAATTAACTAGCATATCATTTTGTATTATGTACAGGTTATCCATAAACATATGCAATCATTGTGGTGTTCTGGTTGAAATTAACAAGTGTGAAATATATTCTTAGCATCATAGCTGTGAATAAATTGTGCTTCCCATTTATATTTGCTGAATTAAAACCATTAATGTAATATAAAGAGAGTGAAGTTTCTGCTTACTCTTGCGATTGTCATGCTGTATCCTTATTCTTGCATTAAATTTGTTTCTGTTGCCCGATTCCATATTTCCGTAACTGGACTGGTTTTATATAGTTTTCAGCTTTTTCTAACGCTTAATGTGTACTGCTGCTTTTAAGCTAATGTACAATGTAACAAGAATGTTAATCATCCATAGTTTTAATTACCAAATTGCTGATGGATAACAGTAAGAGTAATATCTCCCACATAAGAATCAAGAATACAGTACTTCAAAATAGATGTAATGATTTTAGTTTCATAAGTGATTCAGCTAGCTCTGAACAATATGGTGATCACAGCTTGTGGCCATCTTTTTCAGTGTGGGATTGTTTCTTTTTTAACATGTACTTACTTTGGGAGCAGCTAAATGGCCTGCAGTGGTCTTTTTCTGTGTCCAATCATTACCATCAAATTCCTATTTCATAGATCCTTAAGAAGTATTCTTTCTGCAGCATGTTATATATTTAATTGAAAATAATAAAAAGGAATCGAATGGTGCAGTGTCTCAGCTCATGATCATTTGACCTCTGAGATGAACCTTTCCTCTTGCTGTCAGCCGCAAGAGCTCTAAGTGAAATGTATATTGTTGTAGGGACAAAGCAAAGGCAGCTTTATTCTGTGGTGCGGTGTATATGAAACTTGGGATTTTCTCGTTTCTTAACATACATTTCTCACTCTTGGACAACCACAAACGTCACCAAAGATATTTTAAAAAAAGGTTAAGTTGAAATGGAGAGTAAGTCCTTATGATATTTTATACTTCTTGAAATATGTATTTCTATAGTTCTGTAAACTGTATGTTCTAAAGCAACGGTTATAAATGTGATGAACAAAAGTCACAGAATGCAGTATATCCTAGAAAGTCAGTCTTAACTATTCCAAGTTCTTTAGATCTTGCTTCATATTTTGTACTGTCAAGATAATCCAATAACACAATGAAACATATTGATCTTCTAATAGCATTGCACTTGAACGATCTGTAAAGATTGGAGCTACATTCATATTAGACTGCACACGGGATTTTAATACAGCTGAATTTATTCACAGCACTCTCTTTATGTGTCAGAATTGTTCTCTCAGGACACAATACATAGAAACAGGAGCGAAATATACAATTAGCATGTAAGGTACCTGCAATGCAAACATTTTCCATGCATTCTCATTCTCCTTTGCAACATTTTCGAGCTGCCACACAACGTCTTCAGTTATATTTTTGGCATTATAATTTTAGGTCAATGGTTGAAAAGCTTGATTGAAAATATGCCTGTACAATGAATGGTGATATACTGCAGATTTTTTTAATAATAAATAATTGTCTTCCATTACACAATGCTGATTGTGGTTGTTTGCTGGATGCTGCTCTGAGTTCATTGTACCATGGCAGCATTGAAACTGAAGAAAGAGTGGACAAAATAATACTTCCGAGCTTACATAACCCTGCCATCCATCTCAGTTGCTTTCTTTTTTCTTCGCTCAGTTGTAAATCCGCACCTTTCTAATCTATCCTCTAAGCAGTTCCACTCCATTTTCTTGCAGTTACTACCCTGTAAGCTTTCTATTAAAGCTTATCAACATTAAGCCACTGCAGATCTCCTGCCAGTCTTCAGAACTGTAGAGGGGCCTCCACAAACCTGCTGCTCTATGCCTCACATAAACCCATCTGTATACCCAGGAAAATCAAATAGACATGACATGTATAAGATGAACCCAGACCAAGAGAAATAAACTCTGAGCTGACAGCATTAAGCCCAGTTGTAATGAGCTGCCTGTGAAAAAACAACTCACAACAACAACTTGCACTTACATAGCACTCTCCACGCAGAATAGCGTATCAGAGTGCTTAACAGTGGTGGAGCCTGGCTCTGAGTTGGGGGTGTGTGGGAGGTGGTCGTCAGCATGGTCGAAGAAGAAGGTTTTCAGGCAGGATTTAAGGAAGGGTAGAGAAGGGGCAAGGCGGAGGGATTAAGGGAGAATTTTCCAGAATTTCGGGGCATAGTGGCCCAAAGCACAACCCTGATAGTAGGCCGGAACTAATATCACAGGGCTTAGTCACATCTAACACTACAAACAAATGGAATGCATTTAAATGGAGACATTATACTTCTACAAAGCATTACTGTATCAAAGAAAAAAATATGAAATGGTTCCGAAGGGCTGTCAGTGATTTATTTTGAAGCCATTTTTTTAATATCGCTTAAAGTTTCAATATAGCAGTAAAATTAGAAAACCAGTCAGTGTTTTCAGTTAACAATAGTCAGTAATTAATATTGTAATGATAGCAGCAAAGCAAGGTAGGAATTTCTGCACTCCCAAACCAGTAATGATTCTCGTCACAGTTTGTTTTCTTTTATACATGAGTTTATGTTAGAAATGCTATTGTGAGTATTCCAACAGTGACAGAGAGTTTTAGATTGGCTTTTGAAGTTGCGGCTGAGTTTCCTCGCCTCCTAGGCCTTGGTCCATTACAGAGCGGAGTGTTGCAACAACTGATGCACACAGATCCCACCTTCCCTGGAGAACAGAATGACTGATATCCCGCAGATGTAATGAGGCAGGATGTAGAAGCAGCACAAGACTTTCGATACATAACTCCTGCCAAGAAAAGAAAGCTTTAATAAGCAGATTTTTGTTTTATTCAGCTACACAACTCAAAATAATCTTGATGTGTTTTTTTCCCCCAGCTCTCTCTAGCACACAGTTTTCAGAAAAAATGCTCTTTGTCATATTTGGAACTAAGGGGATTATTCCGCTCCGGGCACTCCTTGCAGCATATTAGTTTATGTGAACTAAACTATTTGTACAGTTTCATAAATTTGTCCTTGTGTACTTATAAATAACTCTAATGCAATTTTCAAATTAAATGAATATGATGTAAAATTAAATTATACTTTTCAGAGTGATTTATAAGAGCACAGAGACAAATTTGTGAAACTTACTGAACCACTCTGAATTCAGAGAAACACACAGAATGGGTCTCCACATGAACAACGCTATTCCCAATTTCAAACACTTCAGGTCAGTTTGTTTATTCCCTAGGCAATGGGACGTAGAATCCAGTCCACCTCTGTGTAGTTTCCGTCAGGCAGGTTCACTGATGGCATAATCCCTCAACATAAAATCTGGTAACTCAATCCACGACTGTTTGTGGGACACTACTGTGTACAATTAGCTTCCGCATTTTGCTGCCAAGTTTTGCCCACAAAATATATAATCAATCCGCTTTACAATATTTTCTGTGAAGCACTTTGAGACGTCTCAATGATGTGATAAGAGTCCTGTAGCTCAGAGGTTAGAGCACTCGCTTTGCAAGCGAGAAGCCTGGATTCGATCTCTCCGTCAGGGTGAGACCTTGGGAAAGTTTCCTTACTCCACACACCTGATAATAATCCCTCAAAAAAAACGATAATAAATTGGTCATTTCAATCCACAACTGTTTGTGGGACACTACTGTGCGCAATTGGCTGCCGCATTTCGCCCACAAATATACAGTCAATTCACTTTACAGTCTATTCTGTGAAGCCCTTTGAGAAGCCCTTTGAGCCCTCTAGAAGACATGAAACGTGCTCTATCAAATGCAAGGATTATTATTATTATATGCATAATAAACTTAACCAGCAAAATAGAAACCTGCCAAATAATATCAGATTAGGAGTCGGCTGTAGGCTGAAATTACACCTAGTCTTAGCCTTTAAGGCCTTAAGTAACATAACAGCTAATAAACACAACAACCTATCACTAAACCACATAGCATATCATACCACACATAGAACCTGCCAAAAAATGTTTCAAAGAATCATGTAATACCAATAATACAGAAATCATAGAAAGTTTACATTGCAGAAGTTGTGATTAATGTTTTTCTGATTAACAAAAAGTCTGCAAGAGCAATATTCATTCTTAATTTGCCTGTCCCCACATTTGAAAGGGCTTTGAAGCTTGTGAGTCCCATCTGTTATGTGAAGGCACTCACCATACATCCTGTCTGTGCTGGGTATTTGAGTATCTTAATTGCTTGTGTGAGGTTTTAGCCAGGAAGATTTGCAGAGCTCACCTGGATGGATATTCTGCATTAGCTCTGTCTGATACTGACCTCTACAGGTATTACCCAGATTGATTTTTCCAGGATTAAAAATAAAACCAAAAGCCAGTTCACTCTCTAAAAATAAAGGCAATTCCTCTTGATCAGTGCTCAATTGTTCAAACTAACAATCAAGGTCACTTGAAAGGAAATCTTGACAACAGCACAGGATTGTTTTAAGGGATTGTTATTCTCTCCCCTACCCAAAAATATTAGCTGCCCACTGAGACCTTCTAATCTCTTCTAGATTCATGGGATCCGAGAAACCAGCAGCAAATCACACTGAGCAGATTTTGACTCTCAGGTAAAAAGAAAACCTGAGTGCTGGGAACTGATTTTCCAGTTTGGGTGTTTTTGAAGTGAAGAGAGTGATACAAATATTTACTGTCCATTGCCTTCTAGGAGTTCTGTAGTACCTTGATTCATCTAGTACTCATGGTGACAGTCACTGTGGTGCCATTGGAAATCGGTATTATCTCAAACATCAGTGATAACATTAGTATCCTCTCTGGTGGGTTCTTTCTCTAGACTCTATTGCTTTGCAGTGAAACCCTCAGTATCTAAATACTTGCAGTCACAGCCTTCAATGCCAATGCCCTTGGTGTCAAGGACTGTAAATCAATAATAATCAGACAGACTACAAGTCCTCCATACAGGGGGATTGATTACTGTCAAAAGTAACATATGTCAGATTAAGGATCATTTTTTAAAAGAAGCTGAGTACTAGCACTATTTCTTCACACTGAGCATATTTTATATCCTTTGGAACCATTGTATCCAAATAACTGGTGCCATGAGAGGAGTAAATATAGGTTCATGTACCACATCAGGACTTTCAGCTCACAGTCTAAGCTATTATTCCGTTATAGTGCTGGCAGGGCATGGCATTGTTGGAGGTGCCATCTTTCAGATGACATGTTAAACCAAGTTCTTGTTTGTCTTTTCAAGTGGGCATTAAAGATGTTAAAGATTACTATTCAAAAAGGGAAGGGAGATTCTCCCAGTGTCCTGGCCAACAATCCTCCACATAAAATTGGTCATTCATTTCATGGCGGTTTATGGGATACAGCTGTGTGCGAATTGGCTGCCATATTGACCAATAAACGGACAGTCATTACACTTTACAGTATATCCTGTGAAATGCATTGACATGATTTGATGATGTAAAACTGCAAGCATTATTATAAATTAATGCTATGCATCCACACAATTGGTACCTATACAATATTAATAGGCTGTTTCCATTGGTCAGGGAGTCTGTAACCAAGGAACACAAATGTAAGATAGCAACTAGGGATTCTAAATGAGGAATTTAGGAGAAACTGCTTCATGTGAGATTGTGTAACTCGTTTCCTGAAACGGTGGTTGAATCCGATAATAGAGATTAATTCCAGGGAAAACTGGACCTTCACATGAGGGAGACGGGAAGGGTATGGGAGGGAGAGAGGAATCGGTGAAAACTCATGTGGAGTATAAACGCTGGCATGGACTGGTTGGGTTGAGTGAGCTGCTTCCATGCTATACATTTGTTGCTGTCCCCAATGCCCTTGTCATCTTGAGCTCTTTTCAAACAGTACTTTGCTTCGCTATCTCTCTCCCTGACTTCAAAAACCTATTAAAAACATATCTCTTCAACCATGCCTTTAGCCCACATCTTTACATCTCTCATTTCTCTGCACAGCGTCTACCATTACTTATGTCCAGCATTTTGTGATATTCTTTCATGTGAAATCAAGATGGTGTTGTTAACAACCTACCTAGAGCACTAACAGGTTTGCTTTTAGTGAAAGACAAGTAATCTGGCCTCTGTGTTTCATCAAGAACAGTAAGACTAAGGAAGGTCAGTGCATTGTAATTTTTAAACATATTTCAAGTTCATCGATACATAAACTCATGCAATTAGTTAGGCAGTCTGTAAATAATCTTGCGTAATTGAAGAAATCTGTCTTTTTTTTGGTTTACATGTAGTTTGAGCTGCTTGATATGCATTTGAAGAAAAGTATATTGGTTAAGGTTTGAAAGTCCCTTTTGTTTTCTATCAAGGTCATACATCAGATCTATTCAGGGCCTCACTTATGCTTTTAAGATACATTTTCTTCTTGGGGCAAAGGCTTATTTACTCTCCATCAGAATTGAGAGGGATGGGAATATACTGCACTTCTATTTTCTTCGGAAACAGACATTTCAGTTTCTGATCTAAGACTCCTGAGATTATTTATCCAGCAGTTTGTTCAATATAATAATTATCCTTACATTTGATATAGCATCTTTCATGTCAGGAGAACGTCTCAAAGGGCTTCACAAACTACTACATACTGTAAAGCTCAGTGATTGTGTATTTTGTAGGTGAACACAACAGTCAATGTTTGCACAGTAATGCCCCACAAACAACCATGATGTCAATGAATGCTGGGAACTGAATTTCCAGTTTTAGTGTTTTTGAAGTGACCAATATAAACTGTGACATATTTTATTTTGGGGATTTATTAGCCAGGACATCAACAGAAACTCCCTTCAAATAGCTTTTCAAATAGTGTGACTATTAGTATAGTTTGACCATTCTAAAAACAGGGTTGGATCCCAACGGAACTGCAAGTTTTCTTTGATTACAAAACAGAAAAATTGATCGGTAACCCCAAAAGTCAGGTTTTGAATTCCCTGCTCTCATTCTGCAATATAGATATGTGACTGCAATATATGGTTCTGCATAAGCAATGAATTATGAAGAGAGGTGGATAGTATTTTAGAATCCAAAAGAATTAAGAAATATCAGACCCTCAGACAACTGGTTTCCACTCAAAAATATTTTGTAGTGATAAAGATTTGAGAGAATGTCACATATTTTTGAACTAAAGAGGCTGTAAAAGAATAAACACTAATTCAGTTGGATATAATAAGTGATTAGAGTACATCTCTTCAATCTATACTTTTTCTTATTAAACACACCACACAACTATTTCTGCAGTTCAGTCTTTCATTGCCTATCTTTATTTATCTATTTTGTCTCTCTTTTTAGTTATTCGATTGTCTCTCTATTTAGCTATTCATCTTAAAGAGCTGGGCACCTATATGTTTTGCTATCTGGATGTCTATTTCATAAATACAGACTATCAATGGCATCACAAGTTGTTTCAAGATCAAATAGCTTAACTCCATATAGAACAACTGTGTTACATGGGAATTTTCATACAGTTTTCATACAGCTTTGAAGGTATCTTTAGAAGGTTCAAACAAAATTAACTTAAGGTTCCTCTCAGTAAAGACATTCCATATAATAATAATAATAATCCTTGCATTTGATATAGCGCTTTTCACATCGGAAGGACGTCCCAAAGCGCTTCACAGAACACACTGTAAAGTGAATTGACTGTAAATTTGTGGACGAACGCGGCAGCCAATTGCGCACAGCAATGTCCCACAAACAGTCGTAGATTGAAAATGACCAATTTATTATTGGTTTTGGTTTTGGAGGGATTATTATTAGGCTCTGTGTGGAGTAAGGAAACTTGCCCAA